CAACAATTCCCATCTATCTAATCACACCGAGTCCTTTCTCAGGCTTTCAGAATAACATTCTCTCTGCTCGCCTGGAAAACACTTGTCAGCATAGCAAAGATACTTTATACAAAGAAACAAGATGGAACCTCTCTGGCTTATTTCTTAATTACAAAACCCATATGCCTTTAAAAGATTTTAACCCAAAAACCCATCTCATCACATCCATCAACCATTCTTCCTCTCTCTCCTCCTTCCCTTCTTCAGGCCCACTTCGTCCTCTGACATCAACCTCTTCGTTCATCTCTTTGGGTGCTCCTTCACTCCTCCGCCCCTTTCCTCCGCCCTTGTGGTGGCTTCTGTGCTCATGTGCATCTCCCTCACCTTCTCCTTTCAGGTATGACATTTGCATCTACAAAAATAAGCCGTGCGGGACTCTAGGTGAGTAGGAACCCCGCGATCCCATCCTTACAACCGGCACGGCTGGTCCGATTTCAGATTTTGAGGGGAATGCGTGGGAATCTCAGGATCAGTTCTCTGGTGAAGACGGTGGTGGTGGTGGACACCTGGATCTGACGGTGTTCCTGTTGTCGCCTTCATCACAACCCTGAGAAGCTGTTGATCGAGCCAAGCATGAGTGGGGGCCCCTCCCCACCTCACCCCATGGGTTTCACAGCTCCATGGAGCCTTGAACCCGGCCTCATCTCCTTGACGCTAACCTCTGTTTCAACACGAGGCCTGCGCCGTGATTCAGAGGGGGCTTCTTTAATGCCCCCCTCTCCAACAATGGTTCCCCCTCTCACAGGCTTGGCCCCCGTGGGCGGGATGTGTGAACGTGAGAGGAGCTGCAGCATCAACGAAGATCTCGGGCTGGCCACAGCATTCACCATTGCCCACGAGATCGGCCACACGTGAGTCTGTTGCAATTTTATTTTATTTATTTGGCCAGGAATGATCAAATATCGGACACAGCCCCGGAGCGGGCAGGGTTTTGCCCCACCCACTGCATTTGAGAATGGTGCAATAGTCTCTCTTGGTTGCTAGTGTTGGAATAAGAAATCCTTCAAAAGCTTTCCAGCTTCTGTACAGGAATGGGGTGCCCCCTGCCCCTCTGCCTCAGGCAGCAAAGTTTCCTGGGTCAGCCCCAGAGGCTGTCGGTGTGCTCCAATTTCCACGGACTTCCCAGACAATTGGCTTATTTTTTATCTTCCTCCCTAACAAATCCCATTTTAAAACACACACAAAATCAGGATGGCACATTTTGGGTATCTGAACATGGCAAAAAATCCCAAATGACTAGCATTGCAGGCGGGGGGGGAGCGCTGAATCTCAAATGATAACTTTTCCTTCAGCAGCAAAAGGAAACAAGAAATAGACGTCCACATTTCGTTTTTTCCCCCTTCCAGCTTTGGCATGAACCACGACGGCGTGGGAAACAGCTGCAGCTCTCGAGGGCAGGAGACGGCCAAGCTGATGGCAGCCCACATCACCATGAAAACCAACCCTTTTGTGTGGTCCGCGTGTAGCCGAGATTATATCACCAGCTTCTTAGAGTAAGGCCTGGGTTGGTTATTCACATAGGTGCATGTCCTGTCTTTTCTTTAAAAAAAACAAACTCAAAACAAAATTGGCACAATAAGATCCCCCCCCCATATCAGCAGAGGATGCTAAAATAATGGGGGTTATAGCAAATCCTATTATAATAGCAAGAGCTATACAGTTGGACCCCCTCTATCTGCGGAATCAGTATCTGCTGATTCACTTATCCAGTGCCTTAAGATACTAAATTAAAAAAAAAACACAAACACAGGAATACATATTTACATGTCTTTCCAGGATGTGTTTACCAGAACTGGTCACTAGAGGGAACCAGAAACCGGGCCAGCTGAACACAGAAGCTGCAACTCTACTTGTACATAACATACTCTCTGGCTCCCTTTAGTGGCCAATTCTGGTAATTTCATCATTCATTTTAATATTTTTAATGTTTACAGACTGTGGATGTGTGAATCAGCGGATACCAGTCCTGCAGATAAGGGGGTCCTCCCGTATTTATTTATTTATTTATTTATTTATTTATTTATTTAT